GCTTAACAGATTAAATATGGCTTTCTGTATGTAGACAACCGAAGATTAAAAGAGGCTTGGCAGAGAGATGAAGGGTATATGAAAGTTTTGCATTTACATAAACAATACTTGGTCCATACACGGCTTCTGGCCGATTTCCTGTAAGACACTGAAGTAAATATAGCCTGCTGAGGGTTTATTCAGGGGCCTATACGCATATCAGATAGCAATGTTAGGAAGGACATATGATTTTTGCTGGATCCATCGAGTGAAATTTTGAGTGTTTATTTAAGGATTTTATGTAATTGCATTTGTTCACAGACAGCCAAGAACACAGTGCATGTATAAATGTGTATGTACAGATTAAATACGCTGTCCTCATAACTTATTGAAAGAAATGTATATTACATTTGCATGTAGGATTACTAGTTTAAAATTTATACAGAGTGATTCAGAGGTCTAGTACAAATGGAGGTTGCTGAGGAAATAATTTAGAGCAGATAATGTAATTTATTTCCAAATTCACCACTGTTTTCGCGTAAACAACGCATTTACATTGATATCACTTTGTATTATTGTCATTGTTTGACGTGGTTTCCACCCTGGGATTTCGTGGAGGTACAGTTGAAACGTAGTCACACTCTGACTGGGGTGCCGCTAACAAGCCTACAAGTCTCCACCACACGAACAGAGAAGTACTGAAAAGAAGTACTTTGAAGTGACGATTGAAAGTGCTGCAAAAGGCAGAATTAACTTTAATTTTTTCTACTTTGTGTTGTAAACAAAGGAATCAACTGTAGTTCTTTGTTAAAACTAATTGTTTCCATTTTATAAAAATTTACAATCGCAGTAATGAAATGGACATGAACGTAAAAAGGTCTTAACTCTGGAACGGCCGCGAATATGTAAATGAAACTTAAATTTTCTGCTCGAAATTATCTGCGTAACAACCCCCTTAAACGTCGTTAAATACACCAAATACTGCCCGTGAGTACAGAGTGAATCAACTGTAATTAGCTCAGCGGCAGTACACGGTATTACGTAACAGAACGATGATTAATCTGGTTAGCAGTTTAAAACTGTAGTAAACAATACGTCATACAACATGTGAATAATTAGTGATAGTTGTAGTATATGTAAAACGATGCATTTTACTGTAAATTAATTTTTAAATTCTTATTGAGCTGTATTAAGTATAAAACGGTCTATTTTAACATTGAATATATGATATTTCGTGTAGTCTTAAATTGCAGATGTTGATAAATGCTAATTTAATCCACACCCTTCTACCTGATTTCCTTTACATCCATATTTGGATATTTGATCCAAGTTAGTAACTTTATCAGTTATTATGTATCTATGTGATGATGTGAAGTTTCTGAAAATTGTTAACTTGAAATATTATTTGAACAAAACTATTATTATTATTATTATTATTTTGAGAAGAGGGCGCTGAGGAGACTATTTTAACCTGAAGTGAATGAAATAACAGGAGACTGGACAAAACAGCAAAATGAGGAGTTTCATAATTTGTACATTTTTATCAGATATTATTCGGATTATCAAATGAAGAAGGATGAGTAGCGAGTTACGAACATAGCTCGCATAGAGAGATGAGAAATGCGTACACAATTTTAACTGAAAAACGTGGAGGGTAAGAGACTGCTTGGACGACCTAGGTGTAGATGGGACAGCAGTATTAAAATGAATCTAAGAGAAATCAAGTAGAGGGGCGTGGATTACATTTATCTGATTCAGGATATGCAACGGTGGTCAGCTTTTATCAATGCGATAGTGAACCTCCGGTTACCACGAAGTGTGTGTGGAATTTCTTGACAAGCTGAGCAACTGTCAGGTTAATAAAAATGGGCCTTATCAATGAAGTTATTGTTATCCCATCTATTCACCACTTTATAGTGTATTTACTTCTGTGTTCCCGAGACAAACCTTGCCCCTTAGGTACATAGTGCAGCAGCTATTTCCAAAATACTTTTTGTTTTTAATACTTGTTACATGTATTATATAGTTTTATTTTGAGGGATGACTACATATTTTACGACAGCGTCTTTCGAATGATTTATGAAGATCCTAAATGGCAGTTTTCTGAAGTTCCCTGACGTCGTGTTCGCCCGGAATGTTGGTCAATTTTTTCCTGAGCGACATGGAGACAGTTCCTGTTGCCCCTATAACTACTGGAATTATTTTTGCTTGAACCTTCCACATTCTCTGTATTTCTATGAGAAGGTCCTTGTATTTCAATATATTCTCCGCTTCCTTCTTAATCGCATTCCTGTCAGTCGGTATTTTTATATCAATTAAGAAGCAAGTTCCATTTTTGTTTCGGATTATAATGTCTGGTTTGTTATTTGGAATGGTTCTATCTGTTTTGACTCAATACTAATTGCGCAATAGAAAACAAAATATACTAACTAAACTTCGCTTAACGTAAAAAACAAAACAAATTATGTTTAGATATTGATCCGATTAATTGAATGGTTTCTGCACAGCTGACTACAGATTATCAACACTTTGGTCTATTTTTAGTTCATCACTGTTTACAACAAACTGCTAGACCATGTTCTTTGTAAACCGCGACCTGACGCGTCCTGCTGGGTTGCGGCTCGCATTCTCTGCGTTGAGGGAGTTAAGGAACCAAATGAATGCATCCTGTTTCTTTAGTTACGGCCAGGTATACACATGCCCTCCTTTTAGGATTAACAACTCACACACAAAGTTTACTTTCTTCTTCAGGGATGTCCAATTACGTATGCCGAAGAAGCCCTGAGTTGAAGTTGACTGTCTTGTGGGTTGTTGAACCGTGGAGTGTGATAGAAAGTTTACTACATTTACCAGACTGCACGGTGTGACGTAGCAGAAATCAGCCATGATCTTACCTGACGCCGTGAAAACAAATCTCACTTATCTGCTATTTGTCAGTGACTGTAGCCTGATCTCAACGTGGTATTTTAAACCTGAAGACATTATTCAGTAATACTCTTCAAGAAAATAAAACATGGCTTCGTGTTGGTGTTGGAAATTTTTCTGGCATTCTGTGTGAATACATATTTGTGTGCAGCCTGTGAATAATGTATTAACTTCTGCATTAAGTCGTTTGTAGTGAGAGAAACGGCTGAGAAGCTGATGTTATGATCCTCTTACCTGGTTTGGGGCTTAGTGATCGCAGAGAACTAAATAAATAAGCAAAATTATTTATTTTTTCCCCAACAGAGTTTGTGTGTGACAGTATGAGATTAAACACAGGGTGTACATTTGAAATGTATACCATGTTACTATAACTTACTCATGACCGAAAGGAAGAAGCATGGAAATTTTGAGTAAGTTGCATGATAAAGTAAAAAAAGGTAAAGCTGTCCCACTATACGCCTTGTAGGCGCTTGGGGGGAGTGAAGGAAAAGCTCCTTCTCATTCTTGACCTCGGCACTAGATGGGGGTGAGTGGTGCCGTGACCCTGGGAAAGGACCCCGGTACTATTGGATAGGAGGCTGGGTGGGTCTTAGAACCGGTCTGGGAGCAGAGGCTAGAGGAAAAATATTCTGTCCCCGTCGGGGACCGAACCCTGGTCGCCCAGTCCGTAGTCAGTCACTGCACTGATTGAGCTACGCCGGTTCTTAAATTGCATGATAAAGTTCATAATTTGCGCCACTTGAGTTTCCAAATCGTGCCACCTGAAGCGCTACATTCACAATCGTTAAGACTCGCAAAAGAAGTTAAACGCGTGCTATAGTTTCACGAATATGGGTCTGTTGTTGCAGTGCAGAGGAGACTTTGTACGGTGTTTGAAAGGGAACCACCAATAAGACTGTCGACTTAAAAGTGGTGTAAATTGTTTGTTCTCAACGGAGACAAAAAGAAAATAAAAGCTCGCTACACATTTTGCTCCAACTTTCTTTCAAGACTGTTTCCTCATTGAAAAACTGTAAAATGTAGGTCACAAAACTTGAACATTTAACCTACCGAAATGTGTCTAGGTTCCAATCTTTTGTCTTTTAGTACATAATCAATATTAAAGTAAAATGGTACGCATTTCATTTGTCCACTCTGTATTACGTCGTTCGAATGGTGACTGGATACAGCAGAGACAGCAAGGAAGGTAAATTTTATTTGTGTATAGTTAATTTAACGATGCTTCAGTACGTCGGACTAAGTATTACCGAAAACAATAATAATCATAACGTCAACAACAATAATAATTTTTGAAATATATGGAAGGAAGCGGTCATGGCCTAATTATAGGTAATATCCAGGCGTTTGTCCGGACTGACTGAGGGAAAACACGAGAAGTAAGTCAGGTTAGCTAGTCTCCGGGTTAAGGTTTGAACCCGTGACCTCCCAGTTATTAAACACTAGACAACGACGTTCGGTAAGCAGGAAACGTTTGCCATTGAAGCAAGGGAGTTTGCCTTATTTCACAGAGATATTCTATGAAAGATTTATCAGTCAGCGTAAACAGTTAATGTACATTTGATTTATCCCGCTGAATGATTAAGTCAGTGGTAATGGAATTTAAAGACTAATAAGGTACGTAATGTCGCAATGAAGTCATTTGGCTAATTAGACCATAGTAGCTTTGCCGCTCTCCTAGTCAGTGTTGTTCTCGAAGTCTGAAGGATTCTGATGATGGTGAGTTATAATATGTAAACTTTTCTTTTTTGGTCTTTGCCCATCTTCTTAAATTATTAAATAACGAAACAACGTTTCGCAAGCTAGATTCCGCTGCCATCTCCAAGGAGGAGGACAGAAAGTCTGAGATACACTCAGACGTGGATAAGTGTAAAGTTAACTCATCCAAAGGGCCCGGTAGATAGGCTTCATGCACATAATTTACCCCATTTTACCTTCCAATATAAAAGATTGATGAAGTCTAAAAGAACAGTTTTACGTAAACGTAGTCGTAAATTCGTATTTCCTTCTTTAATCAGTTCTTCGCATCATTTGTATGCGCGTTAGCAACTTAAAGTTGCAAAAAAATGTGCATGTTAGCTTTGCCTTGACGGTCTGTCCACCTTTAGGAATAAGAAAAGGGAATCTCTGAAAGGTAACGTTATTGAGCTTGGAACAAATAGTAAGGACAAAAATATCGGAGATATGTACAGAGGCATTAATGATTTTAAGAAAGGGTATTAACCTCAGGCTAATTTGTTAAATGATGATAATGGTAATTTGCTTGCAGATCCGATAAAAATTTTGTATTGGTGGAAATATTTATTTAACTAGCTCTTAAATGTCCATGAGACTGGTGATATTAGACAGATTAAAATACACACAGCTGAATTGTTGGTGCCAGAACCTAGTTTAGATGAAGTGGAACTAGCCATTGGGAAGTTGAAAAGTTATAAATCTCCAGGTATTGATGAAATTCCAGCAGAATTAATTAAAGCAGGTGGCAAATGTTGCATATGAAGATCCATAAGCTTATTCAGTTAATTTGGGATAAGGAAGAGATGCCACAACAATGGAAGGAATCCATAATTATTCCTATTCATAAGAAGGGGGACAAGACTGAGTGTGGTAATTACCGAGGAGTTTCTATGCTATCAACCTCATACAAAATTCTATCCAACATTCTTTTGGCAAGATTAACTCCATATGCGAATGAAATTATTGGGGATCATCAGTGTGGGTTCAGACGAAACAGATCAACAGTTGATCAGATCTTTTGCATTCATCAGATACTAGAGAAAAAATGGGAGTTCGGTGGGACCGTACATCAATTATTTATGGATTTCAAAAAAGCCTATGACTGTGAAGAGAAAAGTGTTATACAATATTCTCATTGAATTTGTTATACCAAAGAAGCTAGTGAGTCTAATAAAAAAGTGCGTAAGTGAAACCTGTAGCAAAATTTATATAGATAAATATTTATCATACTCATTTTCCATCAAGAATGGCTTGAAGCAAGGAGACGCACTATCTCCATTGCTCTTTAACTTTTCGCTAGATTACGCCATCAGGAAATTCCAAGATAGGCAGGAGGGTTTGCAGTTGAATGAGACACATCAGCTATTGGCTTATGCTGATGATGAGGAACACAAGTTTTACTAGAGGCTAGTAGAAAAGTGGGGCTAGAAATAAAAACATAATATACTAAGTACGTGTTAGTATCCCGTCATCAAAAGACAGGCGGGCAGAATCACGTTAGGGTGGCTAATAAGTCCTTTGAAAGGGTTACAAAGTTCAAATATCTGGGAACAACAATAACAAATCAAAATGACACTCATAAGGAAGTTAGGAGGAGATTAAATTCTGGAAATGCTTGCTACTTCTCAGTTCAAAATATTTTGTCTTCCCGCCTGATTTCTAAGAACCTGAAAATTAAAGTATACAAAACAATAATCTTACCTGTTGTTTTGTATGGGTGCGAAACATGGTCTCTCACTCAGAGGGAGGAACACAGATTGCAGGTGTTTGAGAACAGGGTGTTGAGGAGGATATTTGGGATTAAGAGTGAAGACGATGGGACGTGGAGAAAACTGCATAATGATGAGCTTAAAAATCTGTACTGCTCCCCCAGTATTGTGAGGGTGATTAAGTCGAGAAGAATGAGATGGGCGGGGCATGTAGCGCGCGTGGATGGGACAAGAGGTGTGCACCAGGTGTTGGATGGGAAGCCTGAGGGGAAGAGACCGCTGGAGAGACCTGGAAGTAGATAGGAGGATAATATCAGGCGGGATCAATGGGAGATAGGAGTTGAAGGGGACCGGGTTTTATTGACCCAGAACAGGGACCGGTGGAGGGCTTTGGTTAGTTAGTCTGTCCATCTTTCCGCATTTAATAACTCGACAATGATTAAATAATTTTTAATGAAGCCACATATTGGGGCTTTTCTTATATTTGTCGGTACATTCGAATTTTTGTTAAATAGCACAACACTAGGAAGCACCATATATGAAGACGTGTTTCTACGATGCGTGGATGTGACTTGGTAGGGAATCTCCTGGATGCTCTGTGTACCATGGTTAAATTGGTTAAATTTGTTACTGTTATTATAATGGTTACGAGGGCAATCCCCAGTAACCCAACTCTTGTGGTGTCGTTGACGTGATTTGTAAAGTTCAGAAGTCGAATTCTGGCGAAAGCTCAGAATTGTTACGCTACGTGTTTTCTGTTCCTTAAGAAAAGGGGTCACCACGGAACCACTATAAAGAAGTACCTAATTAGCATTGTCCAAAGTTTTTGACTTTGGAATTATATGGGTTATTCATATAACCAATGCAAGGAGACAATTTCAAAATTAATTTTTTTTCACAATACATAGCTGGTAAATAATCACTAAATCGAAAAAGTTGACAGATATCTTGGACTAGCGTAGTCGGTTATGGTACGGAGTTAAACTCCTTCTGATGACATTACGTGATCCAAAAAGAGCGTTAATATTGTTAACATTTTTACTGCTGTTTAATATTTCTATTATTACGTCTATTATTTTTATGTTACACAAATAAAATAATCAGCAACGGTTTAGAGCTCATGTGGGAGGTGAGAAATGTGTACAGTGTACGGACTGTTTTTTTGGAAGCATTAAGAGGAGATACCAATCGGTACACTTACATTGCAGGGTACGTTGGGGTCTTGGAGAAATGGGGTAAGACGATGTGAACTGAATTCATCTGAAGTAGGATTTGAGGTATTCACGGCCGTGAGTCCGAAGATAGGTGTATTTTGGGTTGTGATGAGTCATTGTCCTGAAAGTGGAGGCAGCATGGTCCTCTGAAACGATGACGAACTTCTACCAGATTAAATTTTACTACAACCCAGAAGAGAGCCATTTTTTTGGATTCATCTGGATCAGGTTAGAGACAGGTGGCAGGCTATTATGATTACGGAAATTAACTTTCGGTTCCCATGATAGGCGAGGAATATCTTCACTAGCTGAGAGTACTGTCAGGTTCTTAAGAAGGACTTTGTTTCACAATCTGAGTCACTTAGTTAATTACTACCGTAATAAGGTATAAGTGAAGTTAGGAAGATGCTTTTAATTCGTAACCTTTTTATGGCGAAAGAACTTCATAGACCGTATGATGAACCCTGATGTGATCCAGGGAATCTCGTCACGCATGTAGTCACTACACACAGGTATAGCGCGCTCTCTCGTCCTTCTTCCAAAATCTAGCCCTTGTTTATCGCAAGCAAGCGTAAGCGTGGGAAATGCTTGAAGCCGCTGCTAGAAGCCTGCAGCAGGCACATAGTTTCTT